TTCAGCGTCTGGAGGAGCTCAAACTGCTAAACATCCGGAACGTCACGGATGCCATCCGCTCCGAGATCGCTGTATTTTGGGAAAAGTGCTTCCTCAGCGTGGACCAGCGACAGGCTTTTGTGCCATATTTTAGCGGTGGGTTCACTTATTGTTTTAGTTGCTTTAAACTGAATGATACTGAAGTTTGTTTAAGTGATGACACTCGAGATGTAAATGGCTATTTTAGAGGATTTTACTGAAGAGCTGTTGAGTCTGCATGATGCTGAGATCCAGCGCTTGAAGCAGCATTATGAGGATCACAAAGAGCTTTTTGACGGAGTTCACCGATGGGAGGAGAGCTGGAGACTCTTCCAGGAGCTGGAGGTGAGTTATCTTTGTGATTTAAATGTGCACACCTTAAAAAAAAATCCGCCTGAATTTATTTTATCTGGTTACATGGCTGCATGTTGGAGAGAAACGTCGTATTAAGCTCCTAATGTGGAACTTTTCTTTCTTGTTGTCAGAAAAAAGCCACAGATCCGACAAGATTCACAAACCGAGGAGGGAACCTTCTCAAAGAGGAGAAACAGAGGTCCGAGCTGCATAAAAGCCTTCCCAAGGTAAGACATGAAGGCCACCTATTGTTTTCTAAACTGATAATATCTTAAGTATTTGAACATTTGTCATGTAACGTCGTGTTTTGTGTTTGTTTGTTTTTTCAGCTTGAAAAGAAACTAAAAGCCCAGATTGATGCGTGGGAAAGTGAACAGGGTCGCGAGTTTCTCGTAAGCGGCCAGAAGTTTCTGCAGTATGTGGAGGAGCAGTGGGAGCTGCACCGAATAGAGAAAGAGAAGGAGAAACTAGAAAGGGTAAACAAGTTGTGTTGTGTTAAAGGCTTAGCCTGTATGTTTGCTGAGAAACGTGTTGACGCTTCTCTTTACTTTAAACAGCACCTGAAGAAGAGCAAACAGACTGAGGAGGATATGCTGTACGGAACAGCAGTACGAACCCCAACCAAGCGCAGATTCCTGGGCACCACAACACCAAATAAAACACGAAAGGTGCTAAAGTTTGTGCCTTGCTTTTTACTTATAGTTGGTTTAATGATCTGTGTGTGTCGGCACTAACACGCTCCCTCTGCCTCTCTCATCAGTTTAACGCGACTTCCAGTATTTCTAGTGGCACCTCTAACAGCACCATGCGCTCTGTCTATGGTGGAACTGTCTGTCGCTCACCTGTGCCCCGCCCACCTCTCTCAGCAAACAAGGTTGGTTTCATTTGAAAGATAAAAGAAATATAAGCTGTACACATCAAACCTAAAGAAAACATAACAGGAGATGAAAAAAAATCTCCCAACAAATTCTCTAGAAAACAACATTTTAATGACAAAATTTTAAAGGTCCTATATTGTATAAAGTGAGATGTCCATGTCTATTTTGATTATAAAGCAGGCGTCAAAATGCTCTCCGAGTGTTTACCTGACATACCTGCTATATTTTCGTTCGAGGGTTGGAATACAGTCAGCCAATAAGAAGAGCGGCTCATAGCCTATTAAGTTAGATGGACAATTAACTAGCTTATTATTATATTCACTTTTTCTGCTCCATTGTAAAGTGTTTTCTGTCATTTTTCCATTTCATTTGTACAGAAATATTTTCTGAATCTCTGCTGCATGTGAACCACTAACTGTTCTTTCTTATTCACTCTAATTCATCAATTCATTCTGACGATTGCAGCATGGAGGGTGGTTGGGTTGTTTCTATCTTCCTCCATTTATGTCTTTGTGAATTTAACTCTAAAATGTGATTGTGCTGTATTGCGTCATTAAAAAGCATTTGTCTGATCGGTCTCCCCCACCGTGTGTCCTCCAGGGTCCAGCACCACGGACGCCAGGAGGCAGTAAGCCCCCCCACCCAAGAATACAGAGCTGTAACAAGGAGAACGAGGCCCATTTGAAGGGATCCCCTCTGAGTGGTGCGTTGCTGACCCCCGCTAGTCCGCACCGTAACTTCAGCATAGCCTCTGTTGCCAGCACATATTCAGAGTTTGTGGTAATTTACACTTTTGTCTCTAATTTCTTTGCTCTGCATCTTGTTTTCCTCACTTCTGTGCCATAACACATTTAAGTGTATTTATAGATGCTTCTGATGACAATAATGCTAATGATGTAAATTTATATTTTAGAGGGACTTGGTCAACACTGAATCTGTTCAGTCAAGGTGTGTTTCGAATGCTAAAACCTGGTGTGATGCTTACTAATCTCTTTTAGTTTAATTGCATGCCTCTTATCAAGGGAGAGATTACCCAGTTACCACATGACAGTTTACACTCCCACCTCCATTACAGCTCTGGCAGACTGTTGCTTTAGTGTTGCTCTACCTTGCCCAGTGTCTACACCAGATGCTTTTAAGTTGTCCACCTCACAGTTAGAGCGTGTATGCTTCAGAACACTGACTGCGATATTTGCCACCAAAATATCATCAGAGCCTCCCTCCTTCACCCGGGGCAAGACACTGATCCAGAGCCATATTTGTTTGAACCCACAGCCACAGTAATTCAGTTCAGGAATCTAACATCAGCCCTGGTCAATCCCCATACATTTGCAACAGACTGTGTATACTATAATCATTTTTGTTGAGATGATTTCATCATTTAGACTGCAGCAATAAATGTTCAAATCTATAATTTTCTCAGTGGAAAGGCAAAGACATACTCTAGACTGAATCCATTGCTAGTATAAAGCATTAAAAATGCAGTTTGATAGCAATTATCACTGATGCATCAATAGCAGTTGTAATGTTTTAGTGTAAATCTCTCGAGCTCAACGACTTATTTCTTGAGCCTCAATTTGGCACCAAAGTTGAAGAGCCATACGAGAAGAAATGTTTTGTAGAAGACGAAGAGAGACCAACGTTCTGGAGAAAACTGCTCCACCAAAACTGAATGACAAGACATTGAATCACAAGATAGCTTGATGCTAATAACCTGATGATACTTTATGATATTTAAACAAAAGGTGGATACTCTGAGTCATAGTTTAAAACCTTATTAGTCCGTTAGTTTGTGTGATTGTCTTCTCACTAATTCACACTAACAGTCTTCAGTGTGCCATTTCATCATAATCAGAAAACGATATGCTCTTATTTGGGGATGTTAGGTTTGCTTCTAATTGTTGTCTCTTCCTCGTATTATCCAAGGAATCAACATTAACAACGGCTCTTGTGTTTCCACAGCGAGACCTGTCCCAGGCCTCTAACGCCAAGGTCCAGCACGACATCTTGAACTCTACCACCACCAACCTTTGACCGCTCCTCTCTGATGACGACTGCCCCAGCTAAAATATCATAGTCCTTCCAATGAAGTTCTGATCTCCTACAAGATGGATCACTACCTGTCACTGCTATTTGCTTTTATATATAGATGAAGGTAATAATATATTAAGTTTTAAGTCAATGATACACAAGGGACAAGGAATCAATTGTCATTTACTGAACCTTTGCCCTGTCACTGTCTCAAAGAGGAAAAAAATGTTTGTATCATAAGTTAAACTAACACTACTTTGGCTATCTGATTGTGCCAGTTACTGAGATGTAATAAAAGTTATCTGCGTCTTGTACCGCACATCTTTAAAATATGTAAAAAGCAAAGCGAGTTTTGCTTCATGAAGTTATGCAATCTGGAGTTACAGGCCAAATGTATTAATACTTTGCACTTTCTTTTATTTAGAAAATATATTGCAGCGCATAGTGTAATTTTATACACACTCACACTGTTCCTTCCAAATCTGTTTTTATACATGTATGTATTTGTGTATATATTTCGGTATCTTCTGTTCTTGTCTCTCTTCCCTTTGACAAAGATGTTAGTTGTTTAAATAGGCTGTTAAGACTGTTGGTAAAAATTTGTCATACATTGGTGCTGTATAGCAGTTTAAATGTAGTTAAATCACATGGATTTCATACACTATCATGGCTGATTTGGAAAAGCTTGTCAAAATATATTAAATGCATTTTCCCTTGAAAAGCACAGAATGACACTGTTTCCTACGATGACAAAGATTCTTTTTTTTTTTTTTCCCTCCCTGACCAAAGCTTGTGCTGCCAAACGAAATATCAAAATTCACGTTTTCTCATGGTTACAATAATGTGATTTTAGCACAAACTAAATACAGTGTATTTTAATGTGTCTTTGAAAGTCTAAACTCCAGCCTGTTCAGTTTGACCAGTTCTCGCTCTTGCAAACAACACATGCTTGACATTTGTCAGTTGTGAATTAATCTGATGCGTCTGTCCACACAGCATAGACAGGTTTTTTTTTTTTTTTTTTTAAGACAAAAGGTAAAATCATCTCTTTGAAAGGAAGAAGTTCTATGAAAAAAGATCTCAAACAATAGTTTCTATAAGAGTTAGCAAAGTATGTTTGGCTCAGCCATATACAAGAGAAATATAATCAGTAAAATTAGAGCAATAGCATGGATTACAAGTTTTTTTCAGCAGATCAGTGTCTGTGATCTGAGTGTCAGCAGACTCACCAATTAGACTGATAAGCCTTGTATGCAAACTAAAGCAGAGCTGACTTCAGACTAAGTCATCAGAGAGATTACAACAATTAAACCTCTGCACCATTAATTCAGTTTAACTTGACATAGCCAGCTTCTTAAATTTAATCAGTGCTGAGTAAACTCATCATTATCTGATGTCATCTAACTGACTATAGGCTTTGACTGTTTTGATATGATCACCAGACATCTGGATGTTCTGGATGTAACAGCCTCCCTTGAAAAATATTGTTGTGATGTTTACGTTATGTTTAAGATGTAAGGGATGCTAAAGTAGAGGGTAAAAGTAATATCTTGGGCAGATTTTGTGCATTAACAATCCAAGATGAAGTGGGCACTTAGCCCGCCAGTGTTTTACTGGTTCTCAGTCAGTGTTCAATTTCGTGGAGGTCACGGAATTTATTCTGAAGGATTCGCGGCGGAAGTTCTGTTGTCAGCGGGACAGACTTCCGGAGGAGGAACCGAAAAACATCCATGGAGGAACGCATGTCAACCGGCTGACAGGTCAGACTATACAGCCTGTGGGTCAGAGACACTACACACAACAACAGAGTGTAGTAGTGATGAAAAGCTAAGTTTTTAAGTAGTTTCTTATAGATAGCTCAGTCATGTCCGGAGCGTTAGCAAGGCTGCTCTTCTACCCGACTTTAGCCTACAATGTTGTCATGGAGAAGGTGTCGTCGAGGCGGTGGTTTGACCGAGTGGACGAGACGGTGGTCCTGGGAGCTCTGCCGTTCAGATCCATGACTAAACAGGTCAGACTGCCTCATACAAGACTCTCTAGCTGTCTGTCTCTTTAACGCCTCAGCGTCTGGTGAAAGAAACATCAGACCATTTACTTACATTATAGCAGAAATGCTACAATTTGTGATTAGCTAGTAGGCGAAACTACCTTGTTTTACGACACTGAAGTCAGTTTGTGATTCGGTCGATAAGGGGAAAGTTAATGGGAATAAGGGGAAAGTTAAAGGAAATCTAAATGACCATACTGAGCGAGTGGTGTTTTTGCACCACTCATTGTTGTAAAATGGTTTAAACATCCTGGTTAAAGCACTGACTCTGTTTAAAACCCGCTTTGATATTTGTGAAAACAAAAAAGAGCAACTTCACTGTTTTTTTCGCCACTCAGACCACATCGGACCAGTACAGTGGTTTTTGCTCAAGACCATATGTAAGAGTCTTCACACTCTCCCTCTTTATCTAATCCAGATCAATGACTGTAGTTATTGGTCTAAATATGTTGATGTGGATTTGGTGTGATATGATCTGGATTTTAAAAAAGGGGTGGAATCACATTTTTCTGTGTTCACAAATAGATTAAATTGTTTCACACATCTGAAACAGTGTTTTAAAGAGTTACTGCTGGCTTCTTGTTAATCAAATTGTGTAAAGAAAAAACCCTCCACATTTACACTTGTTAAACCTGACAAGTGTTAATGTGGAGTTTTTTTTTTCTTTCATAAATGAAATAAAGTGCACAAATCTGAAATTGTTTTAAACAGTGTTAAAGCTTTAATTAGGATTACTAAACCCCTTTCACAACAATAAGTGGATCAAAATTGGGTTCTGTTTCCCTCAACTTTCCCCTTCACTGCCAAATCGTCATCATTTATTGCAATCATTGACTAATCCTAAAACGATTATGTGATTATCAAAATAGTTGCCAATGAATTATACAATTATAAAATATAGAATATATCATCTTTACTGTAGATACTGCAGACAGTTTGTATCCAGACAGTAACAGTATGATTGTCTCTGTGTGTTCTTGTGTCACAGCTGGTAGAAACAGAAAATGTTCGAGGGGTCATCACCATGAATGAGAAGTATGAGACTAAATATTTCTGCAACTCAGCCGAGGTGAGTTCACTTCACTTGTCTTCGGAGAGTGGGGTTGTCCTTTACATACTCCATGATAAATGACTGTTGGATGTGTTTGATGGGTGCAGGAGTGGCGGGCTGCAGGGGTTGAGCAGCTGAGGCTGAGCACTGTTGACCTCACTGGCGTCCCCAGCCTGGAGAACCTGCACCGAGGAGTGGACTTTGCCCTGCAGCACCGGGAGCAGGGAACAAGCGTGTACATCCACTGTAAGGCGGGACGCTCCCGCAGCGCCACACTGGCTGCTGCTTACCTCATCCGGGTCAGTACAAAACTTTGGGAACGTTACACTATCACCTCCAACCTAGACAATGGTTTTAAGTAGATGTTTCATGAATAAATAGTTAAGAGAAAAGGAGAAGCAACTTTACAGTGTAATGCCATGCACTATAACATCCTTGCAGTAAATACTATCTTACCTTAAAGGATAATTTCACTATTTTATAAAGTCTGACATGTACATATATACATTGAAAGGCTTATAGGGGACAAAATCCACAGTGCAAATTGTGTTTACACTGACAGTATTTCTGTGGTGAGCTGCAGTGGAGGGCTAGTAAAACAAAGAGGGAATTCTGGACTTAAAGCACAGTAATGCTGGAAGGGCTTCACCTATTTTAACTAATTCCTTCCACGGGGGGGAGTTAGTCATGCTAAGCTGTGTTGTGAACAACTGTGAGCAGTTGAGCCATGCTGGCATATGTTAGTATTTTTTCACAGGACCACACAGCAAGGTGACATAGTTTACCTCAATGACTTGTAGGAGGTGTGTGTGTCACAAAGCACAGTAGCAGACTGTCCCCTGCAGCCCTTTTCAGCTCAATGTGTCAGTTTCTGTTTGTACTCTACTCCCCCCTGCAATATTTAAAATTAAACCACTTACCAAACTGTGCAGAATAAGTCCATATCTGGTAGATTACACCTGTTTTTATAGAAGAATAGCCGTGCTAATATTCTGCTAAACACATTTAATTTCCCATAGGTATTTCACAGGAAAGGATTGGTTTGTATTAGCAATAACATTGCATTGAAATTAAAGTTGAAACAGTTCAACCTCACAGTCATGATTCTACATTCAGTCAGTGAGTAGTGGGTATTTTGATTTTGACATTGTGCCCTTCTGCTGACAGTTACACTGCTGGACTCCAGAGGAGGCCTGTCAGAAGCTGGCATCTGTTCGACCCCACATCCTGGTGCGTGCTGCTCAGGTGGAGATGCTGAGGAAATACTACCAGCAGGTGTGTGGGCAGTCCAGCTGAGAGTGCAGGGGTCGCAACGGGTCGGAATTCATTATGTTCCCAGAGGCAGAAAGACTGGACTCTGAGCCTTGTTTAAAGCCACAAAGACATGAAACGTGCCTGTGGTTGTATCAACCAATCCTCCATATCATAATGTACACCCACTGAAGAATAAATGCCAAATTTCCCCTCTACCCCACCCATGTTTTTAAAAGCAAATTTAAAGGCTTTTATTGGCAAATTAAAGATTTTAGTGGTTAATTCATGAAACAGACAGTCAGCACTATCATGGATTATATGTGTAACCCACATTTCATAAAACCTGTGGCTTCAAACTGACAGTGTCAACATGGAACAGTGACCAAAAACATCTATTCTACAAATCCCTCACTCTCTGGTTTTAGTACATGGAGCTAAAACCTATTCATTTCTAAAATATATGAAAATCTGAATTATTTTAAAAGAATGTAAACACATCTTGTTTCAACCAAAAATTATTCCAATCCAACATTGCAATGCAGTTTGCTTCTGACTTTTGTAATAAAAACATAAAAAACCCAATTGAATTGTCCTGTGCTTGTTACATTTTGACTAGAGACAAGGATGCTCAACAATAGTGGTTACTGACTACGCTGGAAGACTTTTTATGTCAGTTAATCATATTTTCTTCTGGTGCCTCATAACTTGAGGCACCAGAAAATATATTAAAGAAAATATTTTTGAGATGAAAACAGTCTAATGTTGTTTATGCTCCTTTATTATTTATTATTATTATTATTATTCTACATACTTGTTCGTATTATTCATCTTCAGTATCCCGTAGCTTTGAGAAAACCCAAAAAGTATATATATCAATGCGTGCGACTTGATCGAGAATGGTGTGCTTTGACTTTTCTTAGCGATTCGAGTAACCATGGCAACATAAATGGCGATAAAAGGCGAAAAACACACAAACACCGCTACTCCGCTATTTGAATTAATCTTCAAAATAAAAGTCTCAACATCGTAAGAGGGAATTATTGGCTTTGTTGTATAAAACCTTATGCAGTTTATACTGGCAGACAGAAGCACAGACACTTTCAAAATAAGAGTCAAAAAGGTAAGAGGTAAGGTAGTTAATAAAAGTTCGATCTTATAAGCTATCATTTATATGGGGATATAGTGGTATCGCTTTATTACAGATCAAGGGCAGCAGCACATTAAAAATTTCTCTAGGAATTTTCTAGTATATATATTCTTTATTGTTTGATGCCAACCGCCTTACAGAGGAAGAGTCAGTTCATTTTCATACCGGCAGTCACATTTATCCTCCGGCCCATCAGGGGGCGACAGACCGTTGACAGCTGCTTCTCCGCTCGGAGACAAACGACCACAGAGAGCAAACATGGCGGCGTCGTTGGTGCGGTTTGTCCGCGGAGGTCTTGGAAGGAGTTTTAACAGTAAGTCGACCAGGAACTCATTAGTGTTTCTATAGACTGTTCGCTGCAGTTATCCATTTAGGTCGAGTCCATTTTCACGCAACCTAAAACGACACAGCGTCATTTTCAACCTTCAAATGTCTCAGGTTTGACCTTCGAGCTAGTGTTAGCTAATGCTAGCGTTAGCCCACACCGGGTTGAGTGACAGCCAGATTCGACTGTTTATTTTGTTTTTGTGACACATAAGTTCATCTAGGTAACTGAAACAGTCATGCACGAGTGTTTTGAGTGGATGATGAAGGAGCCTCTTAGTGTACTGAATTATTTTTATTGTCTCTTTTTGCAAAATGGCAAGACAACTGTAACGTTAGTGACATAAACAAGAGCTTCGGCGTAGCTTTGCACAATTCAGCTGCAAAATGAACATGTATGGTTTAGTATGATCACCAGAATAAATGAAAATAATGTCAATAAGAACCAGTAAAAGTTATGAAACACAGTGATAATGAGAAATGTTCAGACAGAGGCACATATAACAGGGTTTGAATCAACCACCCCTTTAACTGCCCTTAATTTCAGTGTCAACATGAATACTTGGTAAAACAAAAATCAACATAAAGTCCCCCCAGTTTTAAACAGTGCAGCAGAACAAAGACAGGGCATCATTTAATCACCCTTAAATTAAGGTGAAAGTCAGCACTTAACCTCATTGTCATTGTTTCATCTCAGATCCAATATCTTGGAGTACAGAGACAAAACAACACAAAATGTGTCACTGTTGAAATAGTTTTAACCTATATTGTATGGTAATGGAACAAAGAAAAACAAAAGATTTTAACTTAATTTAAGACTTGAACGGATTTTAGCTTATTTAGCCAAAAAATGTAAGGTTGCAGAGGAAAGTTTTCAGAGGTTTTCATTGTTTAGTCTATAAAGTATCAGAAAAGGAGCGAGAAATGTCCATCATTATTTACCCCGATTCTAAGGTAACATCGTCAAACAGTCCATCAATGTTCCCTTTAACCAAATCTTCACATTTCAGAAGCTGGAATCAGAAAATGTTTGGCTTTTTTTTCACTAGTTCTGCTTGAAAAATGACAAATGATTAAGTGATTATCAAAACAGTTGGATTGACTTATCATTATTAAGTCAGTGCTCTTAAATACTTTTCCAGAACTGCAGACCCCTAGCCCTGTACAGAAGAGACAGAATTCAAATAAAGCATAGTAAGAAATTAGTGATTCCTGGAAAAAAACGAAGCTATATGAGTTTTAGTGTTTTAAGCAACTTAACAGAAGTAAGTAGATTCTCGTTTGAGCTAAGAAATTAATTTTGTACATCCTTTAATACTCTTTACTTGTGTAGGAATAATTGTTGCATTAGAACAAAGAAAGACTTTGGCAAATAAATAAAGAGTAAGATCATCCCAAAAATTTTTTCGCGGATAAAGACCAGGTGAGACCTTGTGTAAAAGTTTAACATGGGTTTCCTGTTATAAAAGTAAAGCCTTCTTCCAGCAAATAATGCAACACCTCCAAAATAATTCACCTTGAACTCAAACTTTGTTCTTTCTTGTACAGGTCAAGTGGATATGTTTGATATTAAATTTTTCATGTGTGAATTCAATTCCCATCAGTATCTTTGCTTTTCATTCTTGGCTTGTTGCTTTCATCACCCCAGTACGACTGCAGCTCAGTAGATGCATTTGTCATTGGAGTGTTCATATTTACTGTTTTGACTCCTTCCTCCTGCTTGTCTCTCAGTTGCAAGGACTTCATGTCTACTTCAGCAGCAGACCAGACTGCAGAGCTCCACCACTGAGACCAAACGTGAGTACACAGTGACAGATGCTGCAGGAGACTGCTAATTTGGTTGTTTACCAGCAGACAGACAGGATGGCTGGACCACAAATCCCTTTTTTTTTTTTAACTCACATAAGCTCCAGTTTGTGGCTCTTGTGTATTATCAATAAGCTAGACTACCAGCAGGTATATGTTATATGCTTAGAAATGATCTTGTTAACTTTGTCATTTTAATGTTATGTCCTGTTCTTAGGGTGAATTTTAACATCTGTCCAGGGACTACAGATGAAAAACAGCCTCTTTGCTTCTTACAGCTATGTTTATTGATGCGCACTGTCCAATTAAAAATGAATAAACATGATTATCATTATATTTAAGCCACAGAATTTAGCATCAGTTTTATCAGGGAGATAAATCCATGACAATCTTTGAGAAACTCAGAAGGCTGTTTATCAACACTTAAAGCTACTTTGAACATAAGTCCATCCTCAATTTGTGCAACATGAACCAAATGTAAAAAAGTTTTATCATACATATTTGTTGATATCAGTGTTTTTTCCCCAAGATTTTCTTCCGAAGGTTGTATTTGATGTGTCCCACATGCGTAATTTCTCACTACTAACTTTAGTTTAATGAGGAGTTGCAATTTGGGAAGCAGATTAAAACCATTTGTTTTATTGATCAACATACAGAATGTTTTTTATCCTAATGGTTAGAATCTTTGGTGATTCTGGAAATATTTTCAAAACCAATGATTTATCTTTCATTATGACAAATGCTCAAATGTTGTGATTCAGATGTTAAAATTCACAAGAGGCATAACCTGGAGCTGCTGATTAGATGATTAATCTGCTTGATTTTCATGCATTTGTTCCCAGCTCACATCACATCTTAACTTGAATGTCACACTAACTAAGCACAATAAACAATGTCGAACTGTAACCCATTTTGCAATGTTAACACAAAAAGTGACATGGAGAGCAGTTGCTGCATTGTTCAGTCATTATAAACCTGTTGTGGTTCTTTACGCAGCCACTGTCAGGCCCAAGGATGCTGTTACTCACAACCAGCTGGCAGCGTTTGGGGAGTATGTGGCTGAGATGATGCCCAAATATATCCAGCAGGTGGAGGTCAGTTCATATGCACATAAGAGTATCAGAGTCCTGAGCTCATCCTTGGATTATCAGAACCCATCCCTGTTAAATTTAGATTTCATAAACATGCAGATAGCTTGAAAGTGTGTGTGTTCATGTGTGTGTGTGTAGGTGACCTGTTATAATGAGCTGGAGGTGATGATACATCCTGATGGAGTGATCCCGGTGCTGACCTTCCTGAGGGACCACACCAATGCCCAGTTCAGGAACATGATTGACCTGACTGCTGTCGACATCCCAACACGGCAGAACCGCTTTGAGGTAACACACACACACACACACACACACTCAACCCTAGAAACATGTCATAATGGTGACATGGAAGATAGAACTGCCCTTTTATCCTTTGTCATTTAACTCCATATAGTATGTATTCCTATTTAAACAATATACAATATACCATCTATTTACCACAGAAGCACAAGATTGTCCAGGATGATGTAACTACTCTATAGGTTTATGTTATGGCCACTAGTTTGAATTATTTCAACTTTGTTTTTTAGAAATCGTGTTTTGTCTGTGTCATTTTTATTTTCCACTTGTTATTTGCAGTGAATTTAACAGAATTTTAAGCTCCGTGATTAGATGTGTGTTATTGAAATGCACTGTGGTATTCGTAGCTAAGCTCAAAATTTTAGTTTACACGGGCTTGTACCGTCTGACTTTTTTTAAATCAAAGAACCAGATTTCTAACACAGTCCTTTAATCTTTTGTGCTGATGATTTAACCGTAGAAGAGCTCTAACTGTGAGTCGCCTAAGAGAGAAATGTATGGGACCAGTGGTGCCCAAAGTAGCTCCTTCCCTTCACATTTCTGTTCCATCCTTTACCTGTAAAATGAACAACAGATGTCCTCCATTGGCACAAAAACATTTTGAAGACAAATACTTGCAGTGAAATTGATGAGTCATTAAACTCTTAAACAATGTAAATAGAAAATTGTATTCAGGTGCGAGTTTGGAAATAAATTTGTAATTTTGTGACTTTGCAAAGTCATTTCCAGTGCGGACCTCCTCACACTGACTCTCACTGAGTCTAAAGTAAATGAAACGGTTTCATCTTAACCAATTCAGGTTGTAATGAATGGCCAACTGTGTCTGATAAAATTGATAATGTATGACACCTCTGTCCGGTGTTTCATCAGACATTTGCAGTCAAAAGCTTAAATAGGACCAAAAGTAAAAGTATGTAAGTAAGTAAATTATGCAGAATGACTCATTTCAGAATAATACACATTATATAATTTAATCAGAATTATTGATTAATTAATGTCTTCAGCAAGTTGTAGCTTGTAAAGATGGAGCTAATTTAAAGTATTTTATATACTGGTGGGTAGCTTAACCTGTAATAATACAAAATAAACTGTTTTTGATTATTGTGAATTTTGCAAAGTGAGAAGTAGCTATAACTGCCAGACAAATGTAATGGAGTAAAAAGTACAATATTCCTCTCAAATGTAGTGGTCTAGAGGTATGAAGTAACATAAAATGGAAATACTCAAGTACAAGTGCTGTAAAATTGTATTTGGTGCAGTAATTGATTAAATGTACTCCTCTGAAACTAAATGTCTCATGGTTAGAATTAAAATATTTGTGATTATCCAAGGTGCACACCATGTAAATGAGCTTTCTGAATGTTTTTGTAACGATGATGTGTGTGCTGATTGACAGATTGTCTACAATCTGCTGTCGCTGCGCTACAACTCTCGCATCCGTGTCAAGACGTACACAGATGAATTAACACCAGTGGACTCTGCGGTCCCTGTCCACATGGCTGCCAACTGGTACGAGAGGGAGGTGAGTCACAGCCTGCACGCCAAATCTGAGGATTCATTACAGTGTCTATTGCTTTATAAACAAAAAGCATTCATCAGACATGATAAGAACACACACAAAATGGGTTTGAAACAAAACCAAACAATACAAATTTCTAGCGCTGCCCCCAAAAAGCTGCTGAGTTGGGTTAGGGTTTTTTTTGCTGCCTCACAGTACACAGAGCAATGCCAGAGCAACAGTGATGCAGGCTGTAAATGTTCGACATCGAATCTTGTCTGAAAATGACAGAACCATAAAACTAAATGGGATGGAATCAGAGACAGGTGATAAAAACTATGATACTGTCAGCTGCAGTGTCCGGCTGACAGCGCTGTCAGCAGCCTGACAGAAGAGACACTCTGCAGGGGGGTAGGATTCTGAGCTTGCAAATTAATTATTATGAATTTGTTTCAACACATTCAAAAGATGGAATATGTCTGATCTTAGAGGTATTTCTTAACTGTAAAAAGCCCGATTGCACAAGCTTCTTAATGTAAATGGAAAAAATAGACTTTAATCAAAAGTTACACCCACAGTTTTACTGTGTAGTTTGATATTTGTAGTCAGACGTCAGACTTTCCGATTCCAAGTGTCATCTACATAAAAATGATGATATATATTGTTAAAATTTACTTGACACTGACCAGACTGAGAATAAAAGTATGTGTGTGTGTGTGTGTTTATACAGGTATGGGACATGTTCGGTGTGTTCTTTGCCAACCACCCAGACCTGAGGCGTATTCTGACAGACTACGGCTTCGAGGGTCACCCCTTCAGAAAGGACTTCCCTCTGTCTGGTTATGTTGAGGTGAGTTCTGCCAGGAACATGTCCTCTCAGTGCAGCGATCGGCTTTATTTAGCTTCAACCATGTGTGATTCGTATGTTTCCTCCCAATAGATAAATGTAGTCATATGGCAGGGTATCAGTGAGACAGACAGAATGGAAGCTGTGCCCAGACGCTTTAGATCTCCATCTCTGTTGGATCCTGTGATTTTTAGATATTTTTGTATTTACTTTTTAGCTCATTATAATTAATCCAATGCTTCCCAAAGGCTTTGAAAATCCTTGATAGTTTGGGCTGTGAAAGAATAATTTATGGCATAAACTGAATAGATTTCCATCAGAGGAATGGATGAATTATTAATTTCAACACACTACCCAAAAAGCATCTTATTTACTTCATCCGTTCCAATGACTCCACATTCTGATGAAAAGAGATCAGTTTTGAAATTCATTATTTGAGCAGGACATCTTGACCAGAAAAGCCTCTCATCTAGTCTTGTTTTTATATTTTCCTCAAAGACCTGAAAGTTTTCAGTTCGTGAAATTTATCAATCCTAAACATAAAAACATTGTAATTACTTTAAATTAAATAAAACTTGTTGTTTCCATCTGCAGGTGCGTTATGATGATGAGGTGAAGCGCGTGGTGGCCGAGCCCGTGGAGCTGTCGCAGGAGTTCAGGAAGTTTGACCTGAACACGCCCTGGGAGGTGTTCCCCGCCTACCGAGAGCCCAAAGAGGCTGCACCCAAACTGGAGGCTGGTGACAAGGCCCCTGAGAAGAAGTGATGTCTGTCTGTTTAGTCTACACACACACTCTCGCCATCATCATGTTCTGTCTGTTCGTGTCATTCTGGGACTCAAGCCCCCTGAACAAACCCATCTGAAATATTTATGTAAATAAAAATAGTAATAAAACAATGTTGAAATGATTTTTGTGGGGCCGTGGTTTTTATTTGGAACAACTCAACTAAAACCAGTGAGAGCTCCTTCAAGCTTCTGTATATGAGATTTTAAACAATAATATAGACGCAAATAATCATTTTCTGTGTAAAGATACAGTGGAGTGATGGTGTCATGAGCGGTTACACCCTCTCTGTCAGAGTTATAATCTGAGCTTCTCTGTTCTTTGTTTTGGTATCAGGTCTGAACAGTACATATGCCTGTTGGTACATGTGAGTCCCTCCTGTTAAGCAGTTGGGCCTCCCCATGTTCATAAACATACAGGCATCGCCCACAGGTGAGATGGCACAGGGCAGTGTGCAGCATTCAGGTGAAAGCCGCCTGCTAGTATTTCCTCCACTAATGAAACCACCAGGCTGTGACAGAAAGATGAGCCCAGAGCACAGGCGAAGTGGCCATGAGGACTAAACGGCTCAAATTTTGATTGACCAGTGGACCATCAAACATCCATGAAGTTTTTAATGTTTTTACCGGCTCCTTCAGTGTCAGTGCAACTACCCCAAGGGATAAGTTCAAAGCTGCATTTCTTTCCCAGTCCAACCATGGAGCCCCACCAGCTGCTAAAGGACTCCAGCTCGACTCAGAACTGGCTCTTCTCCTCCACGTGTAAGTACCTTGATGCTTCATAATGTTACATGTCTTGTTTTTTATTGGTGACCTGCTACAGAAAGCAGGACAATGTTAGCTAACTTGCTGTTACAATGCGTTTTGGCAAATGTTGCTATCGCTAGCTGGTTTACTGTTAGCATTGCCGTGGAGCGCAAAAAAACAATGCTAACGTGGGCTAATGGTTGTGGCTGGATTGTTTTCGTTGGCTGTCGTGTACACAGGGTAACTTTATTCAGCTGAGCTTCTTGTTATGAGCTTGATGGCCGCTTTCACTGGGCTAGGAGGATGTTACGAAACACCTTGCTGACTGGGCACTTGGAGGGAGGCCGGAGTTGTGGCTGACAAAGCGTTTGTTTTGGTCTGACAGGCTGATGGTCTAGTGCGACATCCAGTGGCAGTAAGGATAATTTACAGAAGCTTTTAAGCACGAGTTGAATAAACTACATTGCCAAAAGTGTGTGGACACATGAATATTCCACATATATTGGGTTGTTGAAAAATCCCACAACCACAGGTGTTCGGTGTCCGCTGTTAAAACGGCCTCCACTCTTCTGGGTTTCAGTCTGTCCGCCAGATGTTGAACCTGGCTGCAGGGATTTGCTCCTGATTAGCCAAGAGAGCATTGCTGAGGTCCAACTCTAATGCTGGGTGACACTGGTCTGAAGATAAAAGATCACAAGGTTCTAAATAAAAACAATTTATCTGTTAAGTTTGGTAAGAGAAGATCCTTGATGACTGCAGCAAAGGCAGAGCTACTGACAGAGATAATAATACATTAGCTGAAGCAGTATAATTAAGATTAGTACTTTCAGTCTATTATTTGCATTTGACCATTTGATTGGATGTTACCACACTTTTTAAAATGTATCTGCGGTGCAGACAAACAAAAGATTTCAGTAATTAGAGCATATAGTATTTCTACCCTCAGTCATATAAATCTACTGCACTCGAATCACCCAACAGATGGCGCTGCAGAACAGAATATGGAATAAAGAATGAGGCCATGCAGCTGTGAACTTTTTTGCTTTCATCTGTCAGTTCATTATTTCTGACTGAGTTCACATCATGCACACAATAACAGTCCAGGCCGTACATTTCTTTTTATTTTGTCAAACATTTTTCATTGAAGCATTCATTTTACATGTAAGAAATACTCAAAACATTTCAAAGAGTCAACATGAGCCAGACTACTACGAGCAAGACGTGAGTCAACATGTTTTTCAGTAATTTGTTTGGTTATTTTTCCATCACGGTTGGATGTGTGCCTTTGGGACACAACCCAAAACGAGCAATAACCGGGACATGTTTTCAACTACATTCTGACCCATGTCTGCTCAACATAGTTTCTAATACACAATGATCGATCTTTCATCAGGATTATCAGAAAGAAAGAAGCACAGACCAGAAACATCGAACATATTGTCAATTACTGCACAGATAAATCACTTATCAATAAAAATATACAGTTAACAGGCATCGACTGGGCCTGTGAAGCTGTTCAGCAATTATGAACTTTTAATATTTTTAGTAACATGCATGCATCACACAAGTGCCTCTGAGTGTGGCATATGCTCACTTCACACACCATGAGTTCTGTGCAGGATTTTTCAGTGTTTGTTAATGAAAATCACCTCCGCAGAGCGATTGTGATTAACTGAACTGGGTCAGGTCTGTTTTTTAAAGTCAAACTGAGGCCATCACAGGTCCACCTCTGTGCACTGCTCACTCACTGAGGCTGAAATCGAGAAACCACCAAGGGTTAGACTGTGACAGATTACATTATTATCTGAAATGAGGCATACTCGCAGTATAATTTCTTACTGTCTTTCTTAGAAGTCAGTGCAGCCGTAAAGGACAGGAAATTGTTGATTAGTAACGCTGTAGTGGAGAGAAGCCTGGAGAGAGTTTGAAGCCCGAGACTAACAGTCTCTTATTAGTTTCTAGAGAAACTGTGAGTCCAATTCCCCTGCGCCAAAGACTTTTCTGACTTTTGATCACTTTGACTGCACAGTGTGGTTACATTTTTAGGTTTATGTTGATGGCATTTATTTTGACTTATTTATTTTTATGTTTTTTATTCATACAGGTAGTTAAAAGGAATTGCAGGGAGGTGAGATGGAAGGAGAAACACATTAATAAAACAGAAATTAGACAATATATAACATGCAGTCTCAGTGAAAAAGTCACAAGCAGGAAGAGAACAATTATTGAGAATGTTGTTGATGTTACTGGGCGGTATGCATGTTTTGATTTTTAAGTGGACTTGCAAATAATTCAGTGAAGATAATTACCATTTGAGTTGTGGTTCGGGGTTCCTGAAGCATCCGCCAGTCGTTAAGTAATGGCCATAGTACCAAAGCAGCAGGGACGAGATGGGAGAAGGCAGATTTCCACTAATGGCTGTCTCGATAAATAGGTACCCATGTTTCTGACATCTCAGATACTTCATTGTAAATATATCGAGTCTAACCCCTGCTGTCTGCTCACTGCAGTGTCTTTGTTTTAATTTTCAGCTGCTGTTTCTCTCCATCTGGTTTGTGACTGTTTTGATTAGAAATTGATCCATTTTTATTGTTTGTGCAATACATGTTAGCCAGCAGTAGCTGAACCAATAATGATACTGCACAAGTGACTATATTATACTATAGTAGCAACATTTAGGGATTCAGTAGAAGCCCAAATATACATGAAGGTATGAAGGTTGAATAGTTAGAGTGCAGCATATTGTATATATCACTTAATTTTCCTGGCACAATGGGATGAATCACATATGGACTATTTCATCAGTAGAGTGTAGTTCCAATAAAAAAAAACAAACGTTTACACTGTGGATTACCCAGAGTACCAAGGACACTCTCTTAAAGCTGCACTAAGATTTGTTTTGCCACTTGGGGCCAATGGGATGAGCTGTAAACAACATCGACAAGTTGTCACCATTTAATGTTGTTATGGTGACAGTGTTACCAGACAGTCGTGTTTTTACACATCCGTCAGACACAGAACAACATAAGCATTGAGTTAGTCACGTTTCTATCCTCAAACTTTTTTTTTTTTTTTGCACTGTTTTTGGTCTCCACCAGCCCCTGAGAATCATCTCTGGTTCTTTAGCTGCTAAAGGCTCCACTATGTTCATCAGCTAGTCACTCGGTGTGTTTATTTGGTAATGTGTCGGTATCACATAGTGGTTTTTTTTATTTGGCTGGAAATGAAGGTAATGAAAGCAGGGAGAGTGAACCAAAACACTATAAAACTAAAACATGGAGCTAAACGATGCTAAAATGCTAAACGGAGCTGAAGAGAACTGTTGAGTCAGGTGATAATTGTCTACGAGCAACTCATCTCATATTACGTACAGTCATTTGGGCCAATGTTTATACAGAAATACTGATCAGTGTAACTTTCAGTGCTTTGAGCCACACAGACAAAACGCAACAGAAATCAAGTGAGGCAACCCTTTAAAACTCTAGTCAAACATATTATCATTTAAACAGTGCTTTCTCTCAAAATTAGTTTGACACATAAATTGGCCTACCTGCAGTACACTGGTGTTTTTTAGACCAGTTTACATGACGTGTCATAAATGCACCTCCAGTTAAGTCTAGTAAAAGACATTGTAAATGTTCAGTCAAAGTGAAGTATCACTTCACTCAGTGCCTCTCCAACAGAGAAGGTGATTTCGTAAAGTCAGGGTTCATCACATTTTGAACCGCATCATCTTTCCCCCAGTGGTGTGAAATTAAACAGACATGCATGTTACAGTGGCCCAGGAGAAGCAATCCAATTTTCCCCGCAGTGCTCGCCATCTGAAGAAATGAATTAGACGCTGCTAGAATTAGAAATCAAATTATGGTCCAGATCCCCGCAGGCTCAGAGGTGGCATGTGGTCAACATTTGGATGGGGACGCATTCTGCACTTTTCCAAAACGGAGTCAGTTTCGTCCCGTCGTGCTCCGCTCCGCCGTGGTGGAGTATCGGGACGTGAAACACTCCAAGATGAAGAGAGGAGATATTTTGACACAAAACACGCTGTTCACATCATGTTCACATGCCTCTGCAGGCGTAAAGAAAGTAAAGTGAATTTTATACACACAAGCAGAAACACCAAGTCTTTGACAAGGATAACAAATGCACGTAAAGGAATATTTCACTTAAAACATGAAAATTCTGTGATTATCTCCTCAACTTTATGTCGGTTCAATATCCACTGAACATGTGTAGTCAATGAGTCTCGCCTACAGCTGAGCAAAGAGCATAAAATGTGCATGAATTTTCATTAATCGTCATTAATAATCGGACTGAATTATCGTTTTCTTTCTCTTTAATCAGCAGCGATTCAGACGTCTGGAGCTAGGCGAAGTTTTTTCATCTGCCAGAGCACCAACAGAAGACGTGTGAACCCACAGCGCTGTCGACTGATCCTCTACCAAAACTTTGATCATAGTGCACTAATAGTGGAGACAGAATAGTTTTTTTTATGCTGTGAAAATGATGCATTAATGTGTAAGCAGCATTTTACTTCACTGTAGTTGGATGAGGTTGGTTTATGTCAGACTGCAACTGAAGATTATTTTCATTACGGATTAATCAGCAGATTCTATTCCTGATTAATTAATCCATCGTTTGGTTTGTAAAACGTCAGAAAATAGTGATAAAATGCTGTAACAGCTTCCAATGTGACGCCCTCAAGTTGCTTATTTTGTCAAACCAACAGTCAAAATTATTCAGTTCATTGTAATTTAAGCAGCTGATCCTCATTTTGAGAAGCCATGAAATGGCATGAAACATTCTAATGTACAAATACATGTTATAATATAAATATTACATTTTTTCTTAATTAGATTTATCTGTTATTAAGATAGTTTTATGTCTGTCAATTGACACAGTAATCGATTTCAAGTACTTCATCTCTAATTTTATAATTGTTCATACTGCATCATCTTTTATGGGCTCTTCATATGTTTTGTAGGCATAATCTACCAACTACTAACTATAGCCATTAGGTAAATGTAAAGCAGTAAAAAGTATATTTCCTGCTGAAATGGGGGGTAAAAGTATAAATTTGCATAAATGGAAATACTCAAGCGAAGTACAGGTAACTCAAGTTTGTCCTTAAGTTCTCTACTTGAGTAAATGTGCTTAGTTTCTTTCCACAACTGCGTGAATGAACAATAACTCGGCCGTTGGTCGTGCTGACTTTAATGACAGGTGGTCTGACACTGAGATGAGCAGGTAATGACTGAGTTTTCATTACAGAGTGAAATATTCAATTAGAGTTCACATTACTGTCATTCAGGCTTCCACATTATGTGAGATGAAGTCATATCTTGCAAAACCATTAACTGGAAATTGGAGAGCTTTTCATTTTGGCTCTGTACTCAGTCCAAGGTCCCTGTGACTTTGTGAAGGAATTCATATGAAGAGGAAGTGTCAAAGACAACCACAAAGCAGCATTCATTACGAGTATGCTCTACTCAGAAACTGCACAACACTTCTGTGGATGGACTTGGAGATGTTTCCTTCTTTTATGAATTCCTCCCACAATGTTCAGTCCCTAGCTCATGCCTTGCAGCTAAGGTTTCTTGTCTGCATATGATTGACTGGTGGTCGCGATGGTGGTGGAAGGGAAGTCTGGGTAAACCAGGAAGCCAGTGAAGGTGATGTACTTGGCGTGGTTGCTGTAAGCCCCAAATCCATCTCTCTGGTGCGAGTAGAGCCAGACTGTGTCTCCTGGTTTCAGTGACAGCATCAAGCTCTGACTCTGCAAAGCTTTCTCGCCCTGGCTGTCGTCGTAGATCATCGCCTGCACCTCCAGACGGTTCTTCATCAGCTTGACGGACAGCGTTTTCTGCGGCAGCTTGCCCACATTGAAGGAGAAGTAGTACACACCGGGAACACGGCAGGTGAACAACCCCTCGGTCATGTTAAAGTCTTCCCCGATATTGACGAACGCTGTATCGAAGCTGACGGGCTGGTGCTGCGGCAGGCCCACTTGGTCCACTCCCACAATGCTCTGGGTCCGCCCCACTGAGAAGGCAGATCTCTGGTCATCCTCTTCATCATCATCCTCCTCCCCCTCCTCCTCCTCTTCCTCTCTGTGTTGCAGCTCCTTCTCCTCCACCGTACCTCTTGTTCCAGACCTGACATGATCTGTGGCCTGGTTATCATTCAACAAGGGGATGTTGTCCTGCTGGGGCTGCTGGGAGTTGTAGGCAGGATGGTGTTGGTGGCGGTGCGTCTGGTAGTCGTAGGTGTCAGGGTAGACGAGGTAACCGTTGAAGGTGGTGTAGTGTCCGGTGTTGCTATAGAGCGCGTAGCGAGGGTCACCATGGAGACGGAGCCAGACCGTGTCACCGAACTCCAGCTGCAGCATGACGCTCTGGCTCTGCACCTGAGGATGGAAGCAGACTTTATTATCCCAGCGACCGAGTCATATCCGGGTCTGTTTTGCATCAAGGCACTGACACCAAACATAATCCGATCATCTACCTCACGCAGCCCTTCATTCGGGGAATTTGCTGTGTAATCCCTCTGTTCTGCTTTCATTACCCACCCCAACACAAACACACCCTCTGTGATAAGAGCCATATTGCACTGTTAGACAGTCTGAGGGCTTTGACATGATAAAATGCTTTTGTTATCCTCAGAGAGAAAAAAAAATCCATCCTGGACATCATTTTTTTGAACTGGAGGCTGTTCCTACTGGGACATCCATCTGCTTAACTCAAATCTTGAAGACGGATGTGTTAACGGTTTTCACCTCTAGAGGACTCAGTATCATTAGCCTGGTATTCCGACTGTATGACTGTTTCTTTACTACTCTGATATTATCTTCTTGTTAGCCATTTACTGTTGGTGGAGGATTTGATTTGGCTAATCACAAGGGACTGATGTTTACTGATGTATGCTGCACTGACATCAGTTTAAGTCAAATGTGCATTGCACAGCTTGCTGGTTTATACATGGCAGTTTGTTTTTCAAAAGGTTCAGTAATTTCCTAAAACAAGTGGTCACTGTAGTTTTTAAGCAAACGTTACTGAAACAGGAGGAAACAGAGCGTTGGCTAGGGTCTGTTTTCAGCAGCAGATTAATCCACATTTGGTTCTCTAGTGAGTATTTGAGGCAGCAGGATGGTGTTTGGGACTGAGTCAAAATAAACTAGAGTCTGTGTGTTCATGATGATGAAGGAAAATGTCACCCAGTGCAACAGAGTGGCTCACTGATGTGTTTTTAATGGAGCTCTACAGCCCAGAGGAATAAGATTCACACACAGTCCTTGTTAGTAAGATACATTCATTGTTAGTTTTGGTCTTTTAATGGGATTTATTGAAAGGAAGAAACATAAAAATATCACCACCACCTGTCTGTCCCACCCACAAATGCCCTGATTGGCTCTGTTGTTTCTCCAGCTGGGAAATGGTCAACAACACCTGACATCTGTTAAAGTGAGGAGTGATTCAGAGGTCTGAAACAGGCTGCAAGATCACATGAATGAGGCCTGAAATCTGAATCACTCTGGGGTTTCAGGTTTTGCACAGTAACCTTTGTTCTGTAGAGCTTTCCTTTTCCCCCACTGGGCTCGCCTACCTTCCTCTCTTCTCCCGCGTTTTCCTCGTAAACGATGGCCTGCACCTCGTTCCTGTTCTTCATCAGCATCACTGACAGGTCTTTGTGTGGAAACTTTCCCACAGTGAAGGAGAAGTAGTAAGCCCCGGGGATACGGCAGCGAAACATGCCGGCCTTGGGGTCAAAATCCCCGCCGATGTTTACATAAACAGCGTCAAAGGTCACCGTCATCTTAGGTCCACCTTCCATGCTGTTGGTCCGTGCAACCGAGAAAGCCGAGCGTAGCTCCACATCGTCCAGCAGACGGGCAAAACCCCCCACACTCCCCGCAAGGCTCAGGCACAGCAGGCCAATCAGCACAGTCGCTGGGAGCAGCATCATATCTGGAGAAACATTTACAAAAGAAAATGGCTTTCATTACATATTTCCAAATGTACAGGACTTTTTCACGTTTTCAGATCTTTAAATACTGCAACTGCAACATGGCTGCAGTGTTTTGTCGCAGAGTGCAAAGTGAGGAAAGTGACTTGAGAGGATGCAGCTCAGATCAGCTGGCAAACAGATAACTAATAATGAGTAGGACAACTCATCTGTAGTACGACCTATGTTTCTGTTCTCATCTTCACTAGTCTGAATCTCTCAAGGTCACAAAAGGTTTACCACAATGCTCTATAATGGCACCACTTTTGTTTTCTTTGCACATCCGGCAAAGATTTGTGTGTATGCAGATGTACAGTTATGTACGCACATGTCGTAACTTCTTTAAATCAGACTGTTACTGACCTTCACACTGCATTTCACACACTTCAGTTGTCATTTTACCACTTGAAATCAACCTTAGACACACAAAAAATTTTGTGGCTTTCTCCAGAAGCCATGCACATTCTGTGCAAAACATAGTAGGTCTTTGAATATGGCTGGATGACAAATTATCTTTCTACATTCACACTGATAACCTTTTAAAGAAACTGAAACCTAAATTAGTTTTTTATTAGTTTCTTATCTTCTGTTGTCATTTGGTCCAGGTCTGTCTTGTAAAAGAGATAATGTGTCTCGAGAGACTTCCTGTCTTTAGGATCTCATTCATTTCATTCCACAACATGACGTAACACAACTTCAATACCAAGATCTCAGAGCTGCCTGAGGACAGTTTGTTCATTTTGTTGCTCACTGATTGTAACTGTTTGTAATAATATGCCTAAGTCTCATATTTTCATTCATTTCCAGATTGTAGAATCACATCATTTCATGCCTCACTGCTGCTCTCTGGTCATTACGGATCAGTATACTTGTAGTCTAAACCATAGCACTGTGGGTTGTTGTTTTCCCAACAGGAGAGTCAGTACGATACCTGAGTACATGTTTTTCTTTAAAACCCTTTATTTATACAATATACCTGTACATATATATTTTAATCATTTTTGCCTTTACTTAATGGTTTGACAGTGAAGCCTGTCAAGAAATGTGAGGAGATATTGAGAGGATGCTGGAGTTGAATCGGAGACATTGCAATTACATGGTGTGTGCATTAGACAGCTATGATTCAAATCCTCTCCTTCTCATTTGATAAAAAAATTCTCAAACGTTTAATGTTAAAAATTAAAAAAAACAAACACAAGGAGCCGTCCAAGAACTTGAATTAAAATAGTCTTAAAATGGCTAATTTTTTATTTCAATTCTGAACTATCTGAACCCAGATGAAGTAAACATGCTAATAAATAACACCAGACATTTGAGGCCGGCTTTTAGTTTCTTGGCAGTTTTCAATGCTTGATGGCGTGGACACACTTTGGTCGGTAAAGATAAAGAGTATGCAGTAAATATCACAGAGTGAACGCGGCTTGTGAGCTGCAGTTCGGGGGTTAAACACTAAAACCACACATGTGGACAGACAGTCTCACAGACTGAAGCAGGCAGACACATACACATCAAAAAGATCAGACAAAACAGGTTTCAACAAGACACACACACACTCAAACGCGCACACACACACACGCACACGCACACGCAGAGTCCCTTTGCTCTGTTTAAGTCATTCAAGCAGATCGCTCTCAGCAGAGGAGGCATTAATGTGTCTTTTATTAGCAGAGACAAGTGCTCTCATCGTCTCATTGTCCTGCTCTAACGAACCAACAGGAAGCAGACAGACACAGGTGGAGCTGTCAGCGCTCTCAAGGCGCCCTGAAAACAAAAGGACACAGTGTATCATGTACAGAGCTACCAGACCCAGAGGAGCTGCCTCCATGTTCAGCATACACCACAGTCTTCAGTGTAGTTCGTCAACATGCAGCCGCAAAGTGAAGTGAGGATGCTTTGGAAAAATAAATCCAACGCCTCACTGATGATACTGAGTGATGGATACAAATCTAAAATGTTATAACGTTTAGGAAATATATAATATCCAACATCGAATTACTGTGTCCAACCATTTATTCAACTTTCAAACACTATCTGATATTCTCATTCGCTTCACACTGCGATCGGCCAGCGGTGCGGCGGTGAAGCCAAGGGCATTAAGTCTCTTGCAGTTCCCTTTTTTTTTTTCCCATTTGTTGCTCAGCTATTATTGGCACTTTTCATCTGAACAAAAGCAAGAATTGTGTGAAGAGAAAACGTGCACCATAATAATGTGGTCATATTATAATGAACAGCTTTTCACTCCATTTTCCAGTGTGGCCCAAAACAACTACAGACACATTGTGTGCACCACTTCTTTCTGGTAACACTGAGTCTTTATCGTCTCTATCCACGAATAACTGTGGCATATTACACAGCAACTCTCCTAATAATTGTTGTGATATTTCAGTCTGGAGCAAAGAGGTGGGCCGACACAGCAACACTGACTTCCCCAGAGTCACTTTGCCCTTCATCCAAGAGGCTTTTGGTTAAACATAGGAAAAAAGGCTGTCTGTTTAAAACACCAGTGGTGACTGTTGGTAGAGAACCTGTCCCTTAGGCATTATGTCTCTGTATCGCGAAACGATTTTCCATTTTGGTTCAGAGGAAATGTTTTGTTTTGTTTTTTTTTTCTGAATGAATGAAGTGCTACAGTTATTAACAGCAGTGGAGTCACCAGGAGGTGGTTGGGATGGATGGCGGCCGTACAAAGCACCAGATTGTCACACCAGGGACATCCACAGTCCCGTCTGTGGTTTAGGTTACAGAAACACTGTTAGCTACGGAAAGACTGTGGTTTTCGTCAATAGTAAATAAACGGGTTGTGTCTGAAGTCGCTGTGAACTTTCTGTACTAAACCAGACCAGGATCTTTCCCTAACCTAAACCAAGCGCTGTGAGAGTCTGATGCTGTAGTCACTACGGGTGAATACTGAGAACAAATATGTTGCCTTATTGGAAATGATGTCTTGATGTCTTTTTTATGCATTTCTGGAAAATGCATCACCGCAGGAGCCTCGAAGTTATTTACTGTTGAAACTAAATGTTCTACTTGTATGTTTATACTAAATCGACCTCTTTTAAATGGAAACTAATTATAGCAGTTAATTGTACTTAAGGCACTGAGGCATAACTGATGGTTCTTGTCTGATCACTTGTCCCACTGCAGCAGGGGAAGAAATCCACTCTGCAAGAGCACAACATGCTGCAGTACCAGCTCACTGCAGATATTATCATTTTCCTGCATGATTCAGAGCACATTTTGTTTTCCATATCCTAAAATTTGAAAGAAAAAGTTACAAAATTGAGAGTGTAGCAGTTAGACTTGTTCATATAATGGCAGCTTGTATCAAGAAACTGTTTGTTTGTCTGCGTAATGGCAGCGGTTTTAACTAGTCATGTTGACAGACTATACTCCTTAGAGAGTGTGACGCTTCAGGTTCAAACAGCAATGAAAGAATAGATCAAACAAACCTCTTCCATAATGAGCACCCATGGGACTTAAGTACAGAGAGGAGCAACAGAACAGAGCAGAATAGAAAAGAGTAGAGGCAGAATTAGTCCGTGCAAGTATTAAAAGTACACTGTTCAGCGTTTTAGGAAATCTGAATAATTAGTCACTTTCTTGTGTCCTACACGGTTACACAGCTAAAATGCACCATTCTTAAATGCGTGTTAGAGGCTATTTCCGTTCCATTATACACAGAATTGAGTATATTATGTGTTGGTGTGGTTCAGTCTGCACTTACTGAAATTGCTTGCTTAAGCTCTAGAGTCCAAGGATATAGTTGATGCGTGCTTCATTAAAACTGTATTCAGTGTTTCTTTGTTTAAACTGTTTACTGAAAAACTTTCTCCCTCACAAACAAAACGAGCTTTGAGCTACAGTAAATGTCCCTGTGAGTTTAGCGGTTGATGGAAATATCATTTGTCTGTAATTGGTCATAAATCAAAGCACTGGCTGTACTCAGGTGTAGGAGCAGGTTGAGGTTGTTATTTGGCAATATCACGTATTATACAAAGAAACTATCAACCTAGATACATTTACTTTTACTCATTTGGCAGACACCTATCCAAAGTGACTTAGAAGTGAGGGACAACACTGAAGCTTCAGGGCAGCAGTGTAAGAACTAAATCTGTTCAATAAGGCAAAGTGTGAGGAGATCGGGTGAAGAAGTGCACTGAAGGGGCAAAGTAAGTGCTAGTTAGTCATGTGAGGGTGTTAGAGGTGTGAGGAGAGGAGGTGCTCTAGGAAGAGAGGTAATTGTGACTTGAATTTGATTCAGGCGGCGGTGGGTAGACAGTGGAGGTCAATGAGTAGCGGAGTGACGCGACCTTTTTAGGCTGATCGAAGACCGGACAAGGGTTTCGCTGTGCGTGAAGGGAGGCCTGCCAGAAGGGCACTGCAGTAGTTTAATTATACAAAGTGTTACTTCTTTACAAATGTTTTGTATTGAATGAATGGCTCGGATATTATATGGATAATGCAGTTATCATCCGGAAGTACATCCATTTTCTTCCCATTTACCCCCGGTCGGGTAGCGGTGGCAGCAGGTCAAGCAAAGTAGTCCAGACGCACCATTGTATTGTGTTTCCTCTTAAAACATTAACTGAACACTCACACTTGCTTGTGAGCCTCCCGGCACGACCGCACTGTTTTCCACTGAGCAGTCTCACTGTAGGTGAGGTTAATTGCCTTGATGAAAGATGTTGATGATACTTGTTTCAAGAGGAGAGGATATTATATATACATTTTCTCCCTCACTGTGGTGCTGCTCTGCACTCATCAGCGAATGTGAGCCAGTAATCATCCAGCGGATTGTATCTCGTGTAAACTTAATGTGACCACCAGAACTTTCTGAAAACCAACATAGAGACTGAAGGAAATTGTCACAACACTCCTCTGCTCTGCAGCTTCCCCCTGGGGGAGATTCCCAGTGGCTCGAGCAAACTGGGAGATCACTTCCACCCCGGTGAGTCCTGGATCT